ACCCCAATCCACATACTAAAATGTAACCAGTTATTATGTAATCACTCACATACAGGATCTGATTTATAGCTAAGTATGCGAACTTGTGCACATTTTTGGATTAGTCCTATTTAGACATAATTATGTTATCTCTAGCTCTAACTATGGATATGCACTTTTTGAGGGAATAATAATCGTTCTGATATATTAACATGTGTAATTTCTGCAGTCAGCGACATTGCAATGTACCTTATCATCTTCCCACGCGACGTAAACACGAGTGCTTTTTGGCGAAGAGGTGAATTCTGTCACCATACATTTGATTATGATCCTGTAACTAACATTATCATGTCATTCTTAGGGGTGCTGATATTTTTTAGTATATGTGGAGCATACCTACTTTTTAAGTACTAATTATTAGCAGAACTAATCAGAATATTATCCAGTCATAGTGCAATGATGTGGGAAATCTATAGCTCAAATGGATGGTTTACGTATTTGTTTGAGCTGAAATATTAATTTTAAAAATTATCACAGTCATCGGTTTTGAGAATGTTATATTTTCTGAGCTGGATGGTTTAATCATGAGGCATACATTGTCTTTTTCGACATCCTCAAAATTTTAATCCTGGGCTACAAATATTCCCCACTACCTCATTCATCAATATTAGCATCAGGTAAAAGTCAGCTTTCTGTATATCTGTTCGCTTTAATGATGTTGTTGGTGGTTTGTTAGTTATCCGATATGTTTCTTTAGGTCATATTTATCAGTTTCATTTCTACAGTAAGGTTTGTGTTTTTTCTTTAATCATAAAATTTGTGTTTATATTTTTAGGATTATTCTAGTGGCAAACTGTTGACAGGTGAAATCAAAAAGGAGCTTATCACACTGTTGACTGAGTTTGTTACAGAGCACCAGAGAAGACGAGCTGCGATTACTGATGAAGTTCTCAAGAGATTTATGACTCCTCACCCACTGCATCTTCCATTTATTTAGATGTATTGATTGTGAATAACTACATATCGACCTAGGCAATGTTTGTGAATGAATTTATGGAAAATATTTTTTTACGTTGTATGCACGTTTTAATGATACTTAACTTTCGGAAATTTTACCGGGTTATCTGTAGTGAATACAAAATTGTGTATGCATGTAAATTTTTAGTCTTTTTTAACCTATCAGTGGTATGTTACGTCTTGTTATCTTAATTATTAGAAGTAATCTGTGTAACATCTGTCATTGCTATTGCATCTTTGGACTGATTAACTTGTATGTGAATAACATTATTTGTATGCGTCTATAATGGATTACCATTCCATTGGCTTACAAAATTTCTCAGTGATAGAAGTAACTAGTCCTGAAATAAGTAAAATATAAGACACATTTTCTACATGACGTATTTAAACTTAGTGAACACATTAAGCGATAGCGTAAAACAGATTTTATTAAGTCTATCCAGTTCTAATACTGAACTAAGCAGCGTATTAATGAGTTTGAGCTGTTATTATATACTTTTAGTAAATTTACTGATGTACAGATCTATTGGGCTAACAAGAACATGATATAGATACAGAAAGTTACTGGAATTTTTTCACATACGTTCAATCATCTCATCATTCCTGCATGTCAAATTAAAGCTCCTATTTTGGATACCATCTTCGGTATTTTTACATCTATGTATAATACAAATGCTATTTATTTGAATAATATTCACAATAATCCCGTCAACCTTTCATTTTATAGTGAATTCATTATTAGGAAAACTCAAATCCCATCAATAACTAAACCGTGAAGCAAGGAAACGGGATACTATTCAATATTATGGTTCATTTTCTTTGAGTATATAATATTCCACTCAAGACATTATACTTTAAAAGATAACATAGTAGAAAGATCGACTTTCTATTACTAAAATGACGAATCAGTAGCTGTAGTCTGGATGAAATTTGGTTTTGACTCGAAACTTAATTAAAATTGAAGATTTGAGGTCAGCTATTACTACCGAAATTTAGTCCATATTTTACCTATTTTAATGTTCCTTAGATGATTTCCCAAACAGTCAGAAGAATATAGACGTTTTTCTTGTTTAATGTTTACTCACCAAGTCCCTATTAAAATACAATACCTTTAATCTCAGTCCCTACTGGTAAATTGGACTGCAATTGTCATCCTATAAAATACTTGGTGAAATACATTATACAGTATATTATAATGTCTAATCCTGAGAGATATTGTGCAATCTTTAAAATGAGATTGCTCTAATAGTGATAGACTCGATTCCAGCGGAAGGACAGTTTTTTATATTATTAATTCTAAAAAAGCATTAATGTCATCCTCTTAATCCAAGCAACATAGTCAGACGTTAATATTGTTCAAATGTGTGGCTGATGTTAATGATTACAGTAACTTCGTTTTATGCAATTAGTTCCTTTTATGAATTTAAATAAAGCCATAACGAACACTGATGCAGAATAATATGAATTCATTATATTTCATGGTTCCTCATCAGCTACTTACAACCAAATATGTATTAGAATTTTACATTGAGGTAAGATATAGTGTGGAACGATTGACATAAGTGGATGTAAAGAATTAGAATGAAAAGGTTATCAATAATACTATCGGGGGATAAGTTTACTTCCGATTGCGTCCAAGCTATTGGCTTCCGTCATTCTTCGTAGGTTGTTCAAAACCCGAGAAAGATTGACTCGCGAGGAGCAGGCTGGGTTTCGTTCTGGTCGAGGATGTATTGATCATATCTCCACCCTCCGCCAAATGTTAGAACACCGCCATACTTTTCAAAGGCCAACAATCGTAGTGTTTCTTGACATCAGGGCTGCCTTCGATTCGTTGGATAGGACTGTTCTCTGGGATTGTCTATTGAAGAAGGGTGTGCCTGAGAAGTTTATTAACATCCTAAAAGCCCTGTATAAAAACACCTCAGGCAGAGTGAGGGCATACAACCACCTCTCTCCATTGTTCCATTCGAGCAGTGGGGTTAGGCAGGGTTGCCCAATCTCACCATTCCTCTGCAACTTTGCCATCGACGACATTCTGGAAACAGCTCTGATGAATGTAAGTAATGGTGGTGTGGATCTGTTGCCTGGAGAAAGACTTCTCGACCTTGAGTATGCGGACGATATTGTCTTACTGTGCGATAATGCCCAAGGCATGCAATCCGCACTTAATCAGTTGGCAATCAATGTCCGTAGGTATGGTATGTGCTTTGCACAGAGATGATAACTCAATTGGTGTCACCATCTTGAAACACCGACTTCGGTGGCTTGGACATGTTCTCCGAATGTCGTCCCAGAGAATTCCACGTCGTGCATTATTTGCCGACTCTGGGACTGGTTGGAAGAAGCGGAGAGGTGGTCAGTGCATGACATGGTGTCGTGGCATGAAAGAAAGCTGCAAAGGACTGGCTTGTGTTGGTCCTTCACGACTCCCTGGCTGGGGTCCGAGAGATGGTGCTACACAGTGGCTAGAGACGTTATCAGATATGGCTCAGAATAGAAGCCAGTGGCGATCCTGCTGTAACCTTCTTTTACTTTCTTCATAAAAAGTGGTTGTGTCTCCTTTACCTGAAAGATTTCTTCTGATTGTACCTCTTCGTCATTACTCTCTTTTTCTTTTGCGTTCCTTAGTTTTTTTTTTCTTTCTACTTCTCTTCGAATTCCCATTGTTTTGTGTGGCGCATATATATTGGCGCTCTCTTGTACCAATATTTATGTGTTCAAATATATATATATATATATATATATATATATATATATATATATATAATGTGATAATTTTAGAGGTAATGGAGGGTTTACATAAGATTCATGAATTTAAAAGCTGGTAAGATGGGTTACGTAATAATTGAATAGAATTGAAGAGTTCACATAATTTAAGAGAATCAAGTGAGTGAAAATGTATGAATGAAAGCGTGGTTTAAGAATTTGGTAATGGAAGGTAAATATAGCAAAATAAAACTAATGACCAAAAAGATTGAATTACCAGGGTAGTAATAGGTTTATTACTGTCTCTTTTTAAATACTTAGATCAGGTTTGAGTTTTTTTATCGCGATTGCTTCAGCAAAACGGAGAGAAGCAGTATTTCTTTGCTAATAATTTTAAAAGCATTAGTTTCAACGGTATGCCCGGTGTCAAGTAAATACTGAGCTATTGCACTGTTAAGAGCAGTGATTTCGTCTCCTTTGAAGCGTAAGTTTAAGAAGCAAGTTTTCTTTTCCACTCTATCGTACTTTACCCGAGGGTTGGTTTTGGCATATTTCTTGATGGACTTCGCCGGATATGCATTTCCACGTAGGCAATTTGTGATGAGAGCAATTTCGTCTTTCAGGCATTCCCTTGAGCAAAGTTTGCGTGCGCAGTCAAAAAGGGTTCGTACAATACCCTCTTTGTAACTCATTGTCAGAAACTAGTGATTGTTATAAACTCCACTCCAGGTATTTTTGCTCTGAATGTGCCGTCTGATTCCGATATCTAAGAAATGGAATTTACCTTATACTTCATGTACCATAAAATCTATATCCTTGTTAGACAGATTGAGTAGGTTCATGGAGTGCTTATGATTTTTGCAGACTCTACTGTAGATATAGTGATGACACACTATGTAATGTTATTATTGATAACCTTTGTCATTCCAATTCTTTACATCCACTTATGTCAATCGTTCCACACTATATCTTTCCTCAATGTAAAATTCTAATACATATTTGGTTGTAAGTAGCTGATGAGGAACCACGAAATATAATGAATTCATATTATTCTGCATCAGTGTTCGTTCTGGCTTTATTTAACTTTGTTTCAATCTAATGTTAGCCATTCGTCCAGATAATGATAGTGTAATTTGAATTCCTTCCCATACCTCAATGAACTTAATATGCAACATCTGTAGGGAACAAAATTATTTAAAAGTCAAGAAAAAAGATGATTTGCTGATTTTACGAAAATTTCATTTGTTGCTATCTTTTAGTGTATAAACATGAATTAAAAATGCAACTAACGTTAACTGCTATACAATTTATAAAGTATTAAGAAAATCTCTATGGGGTAACTAAATTAGAAACCAAAAGATACATTAAAAAATATTTGTGTTATGATAAATCGATGAGGCCTGTAATATAATATGAAAGTTATGACATTGCGACGGCAAACACAGAAGTAGGCTATAATGGTTGGGAGGGGTAATGTATTTAAGCATATATAGTATGGAATGAATACAAGACCACTAAGCCAAATTTCTGGCGGAAAAGAAACTTGGCATGTGTGCTGTGATTGGATACACTCACGATGTTTAGATGATCGCCTTAAACTAATGTCTTTAGTAGTCATAACTGTCATCATGATATTTATATCTCTAGCCAAAATTTACAAACAACGTTTATTGGGTGGGTTAAACCAACTGGTACATTCGTTTAAAGGTTCAGTTTTATTAGCGTACTTGCTTTATGCTTTTTGTTTATTTACAATATTTAAAGTACAATAAGTTGGATTTATAAAACGTTACTAGTGATTCACGTGTCTTAAGTAAAAGATGTGCATTCACCAACCTTATAATTTCATGGTAAAATTCACAGGAAATCTCCTTCATATATTATAATTTATCAACATCTATTTGGATATTTTTCTTTAACCTATCTGTAAATATGAAATGTTTATAACTGATACAAAATCCACAAATAATTACAAATGTAGAATTATTTTTGATTCTCAACTTTGTGTGGAAATTACGACAAATTTGTTCATATATTCACTTCAAACTTCAATAAACAACAAATAAATGTAATTTGACTAGATGATAATTAAATATTTCTTTTGTTTTTATATTATCTGGGCATATTTAACAAAATCTGACTTGAAAAAAAAATCAAAAGAAAAGAAAATATACACAAAAACGTACTAGATCGTAACCTTCTTCATTTGAGTAGTAATCTCATATTCATGAAGTTTTCCTCTGTTTTGATTAAATATTTAATTACATTGTAATGACATAAAATAACAAATGATCTTTGTTGCCGACTAATGTACATCTTGATTAATTACCTGCTAAGTCTTTATTAACTTCAGGAATGTATTGTTAAATCGATGATTTTATAGAATATCTTAACTCTAAAAACAAACGAAATAAACCAGTTCTATGTTTAAAATATGAAGAAATTTAAATTATCAATAATTTAGCAAATAATATGACAATATATTTTAAACACTTTATTGTCCATATGTTGAAAGTGAAAAAAACTTGGATGTCGGTTTGACATTTAAGTAGCTTTTTCTGTTTGTTTTTTAAAATCGGAATGATACAAAATATTAGATTTTAGAATTTTAATTTTACAGTTTGCCTATTTTCAATATCTTTGATAGTACTAGGTCTTAAGAAATATTTTATGAATATTCAGTTCACAATACTAAAGATTCCAGAATACGAGCTTAGCTCACGAGTTATTATATTCATCACTGATAAATGTACTTCATCTTGTAATGGAACTGATAAGTCTTGTTAATTGGAACGCTTTATTCGGTTTCTAAGCTATTCTGGTAACCCGCAGCTAGAACTACGCAGCGACCTGAACTCGAGAGAAAAGGTGCAAAATAAGCGAAAAACACTACTCCAAAGGTTCATTTTTGTACAGAAAAACACGGGTATTTATAGATGTTAACATTTGTTAAATCAACATATTTTGGCCAATCCGCTAAAAGATAACGTTTTTATTCATCGTTAATTTCGCTTCTTTGATACTTTACACTACAGCTTCGAACGATTTGGATTAAGTGTCAGTTAATAACTAGTAGTATTATATTCCACAATCCACAATTAAGAATGAGTATTCTGAACATCACATATCATTAGTTAATTAGGTTGACTATTTTTCATTCAAAGATATCTTAGAAGGTTTACCACCCCTATTCGAAAGTTACTGTACAGGTTATGAACAGTACACATTACAAACACCATAACATGACAGCTATAAGAAGCTGGAAGAAAGCGATCTAAAATCTTGACAGTTTTTTTATTTTTAGTGATTACTTCTCAGTTACGGAACCTGTTGAGGAACACTTCACAATTGGTTATTTAATTTTTCATGAGATATTTTTTGAGAGCGAATGATTTTGACCAGTGGTTAGTATACTGGGACTGACAATGAATTACTTCAAATCCTACAAATTATAAATAGAACAAAGAGGATAAAAATCACTGCATCATGCAATTTTTTAAGTAGTTGCAATATACTTAAATGACAGGGTTAGGTATTTAAGATTAAATATGAAGGATCCACTATGAACCAACATTTATAATACAAGTATTTTATTGCAAATAGTAATTGAGATGAAGTGTTGAGTTTCACATTAATTAGTGAAAGACTTGCGTGTATTACATAAACTTCGTCTCTCCTAATCCTAAAAATGAAGAAGAAAATTATCTACGACCTTAATTTTCATGCAATCACTCATATTCAACTTCGTGAATGATAATATCAATTTAGAAAATTGTAAAACGCAGCTATAAATTCTTGTGAATGACTTATAGACGGCTTTCACACTTCAGTTTTATGATTGTTAAAATACGTATATCTATAGCTCCAAAGAAATTAAAGATCATATCACTAAGCTACACTGCAAACTAACCTAACCAATAGATTTAAATCAGTGGTGAGGAATATTCATAAAGCAATTATTAGATATTATTAATGACCTTAGAAATATGGATTAGCACATTCAATGAAAATCTTGTTTCAACCAATATATTTACCAATTTTCCCCAACAAATCGTTCGAGTGAGTCGCAGACATTTCGGCTATTGATTGATAGAAATGCATATTAGTAATTAAAGCAAATAAATGTCTTGCTGATAAAGTTCTTTTCATTTTGAAATCACGCCTCCGGGCCTTAGAGCGTAAATGAATAGTTACAGTGTGATGCTACAGAGTGAAAAATGAATGAAAACATCAAGCTTTTAGTGGAGTAAAGATAATGTCACAACATTGTGAAATGATTATAACCAGACACGTAAATCATTGGACGCTTGCTCACTGGTCTATAAGCTAGGTTCCCACCATACGACACGAAAATCCTGAGTTCAAACCTCGATGAAACAATGAAAAATCAGTGCTGATGTGTCTCCTACCACGAGGAAATAGCTGTTCACTGCCTCCTCACTTTCGGAGGTTGTTTCAATTAGACCATTCTGTTATGTAAGCTATGAAATTCAGTAATCTCTGAAACATCAAATAATAAAAAGTAATGCCGTTGATATGTTTTCAAGTCTGAAACTGACTTTAAAGGAAAGTAAAAAAGTACGTTTCTGTAGAAGGTGTTAATTTGTTTGAAAGTAACTATTCATACTACCGTACATCATTAAAATTGAGAATACTTCACCATTCTTTTATTTTAAAACCTTGCATAAGAAGTAACAAAACAAATAGTTTCAATAAATTTTAATATTTCAATGAGTAAAAAAATTGAATTTTCTGACGTTTCGTGACTCAGTGTTAGTCACCTCCTCAGAGACTAACTAAATGTTACAGTTATAGAGAGGATTTGCAATTAAGTGAAATATAACATTCTAAGTACAGCTTAATTTATCATCGTAAATTCCAAAATTAATACATTGAACAGATAATAAACGTTTGATATATTTTTTACAGTACACAGTCATTCAGTCAGTAACAACATAGAACTTCGTACGTACGTACATCAGTTCGAATTGCCATACCACATTAGCACAGAGATGCAGTTGTCGATTCAAATCCCGTAGTGGTAGGTGTAGTAAGAGTATAAGCAGTAATCGGGAAGAATAGGGTTTGGAGATGTTATTTAAAGGGTATAATACAGTGAAATAAATTTGGGAGAACACAAAGAGTGGATGCACCTGCGCCATTGCAAACGATTTCGAGCCATGTCATTCAGGGTCTCTAACCATCGGTTGCTATCATCTCGCGGTCCCCAACCAGGTAGTCTACACCTATCAACATGACTCAGTCCACTTGTCAGTGACTTCATGGACTTGTGCCATGTTTTGGTTTGGCCGCCCCTAGCTTTCTTCCAACCTACTCCTATACCACTGAACATAGCACGTCGAGGCAGTCGGTCGTTGGGCATACGTAACACGTGTCCCAGCCATCTCAACTGATGAAGTTTCACTACTTCATCAATTGATTTGCCATCCTTACATAGTGCCCGTTTCCTAACATTTTACACTATACTGAAATAGTGGAACAGCTGGCCACTAAAATAATTATACGCCATCACTGTGAGGAGGAAGGGAAAAGAGAGGGGATTCATTCGAAAATAAAAAGTGAATAAAAATTATTGAATGAGAATTGTATATAAAAGGAGATACAATTCTGTTTAATACCACCGCTTGATATCATAAATGGACCACTTTCCCACTTTTAACATCTAATGTCAGGGTTGGGAATAAATTACTTGTGTGATAATTTTTAATACATATCCGAGCTTAGAAGCCAATATTTCAAGGTAGTGAAACCAAATGAGTTGTCGTCGCTGTGCACAAACAAGAACAGCCTAACCTGACAATTAGTGACACGCATTTATTACTAGATATCAGAAATTATCAGGAGAACATAGGAAGCCGCCGAACTACCGCAATCCAGAGAGGAAAGTTTTCATAAGCACAGGATAGAACTATTCACACCAAAGCGTTGTAGATCCAAACTTTCACAATCTGACAAACATCAAAAATATTGTAATCCGGAAAGTGCCATTCTAGCCTACATTACACGTTGACTGATTTCGTATGATTTCGATTATCATTACTTTCGTTACAGATTATTTTTAGATTTCTCGCCTTACTATATGTCCATTTAAGCGGTCATTAATTACAAAGAAAAATAAAATAAAAACTTGTAATCATTATCTAATTAAATTACGTCATAACTTTATATAACTTTTAAATAGATAATATTTCTATTTACAACCATTTGTAATATAAACTATTCAGTGTTTAGATATCTTTTATTCAGAAAACCGAATCAAATTATTGGGAAGTGCGAACTAAGTAAAAGAAAGTTTTTAAACCACGTTTCCAGAAATATTACGAAGTCATTCTTTCTAGATGAATGTAAGATGGACGAAAAAAGTTACAACTTCTAAGCCTAAACACGTTGTAAATAATGGAAAATCGGTCAACGGAAGTAGGTATTTTTACTTGTTGATGACACTAAATAGCTTTCCAAATACTCAGAAAACTCCTCTTCGATCCCCACTGATAAGTAAGATGTCAAACTGAAGAACAATATATTCAATCGACAGCTATGTACATTATGTTACGCTACTTGCAATTAAAAGGCGGCCCGATTAAGTGTCTGGGCTACCTGTTTCTGACATTTAGATATTTCAACAAGTTATCTGTTTCCTTGTTTGTTTTAACAGATCATTATGTTAATTAATTTCATAAACTATTCAGGTGCGTTTGTGAAAAGTTTCCAACCTTTCTCTGTACAAGTTACAAAAATTTACATTTGGAAATATCGCGATGGTCGGCAATATGGATTGAAAAGAATGAACATTATTCAGATATCGACTTTGAAATGGTAATATCTAACTGGCGGTCACTCAATATTTATCATCAATATTGATCAAGAAATAAGAAACGGAAATTCTCTAATATACATTGTCCTGAGAATTCTATATTGTACCAAAAATATATTATTGAATAAAGCTAATAATAATAATAATAATAATAATAATAATAATAATAATAATAATTGATTTGAAAACTTAATGTTATAACGAGACGAATGTTGTAAAAGTTGGAAATTTCGGAACCAGTTTTCGAATGTTTGTTATTCATACTCTTGTTTAACTGTATTGTTGCATTTCTAAATTCCTCTTACTATAAGCTTTCAGTGGACTTTTAAATGCTCGTCATACGTTTACCATTTCCTAATTATTACGGAATAATTATTCACTGTTTGCTGCGCTTTGCTGTCACGTGTGGCTTGATCGTACTTAATGTATGTTTAGTGTGATGTTAGTTGAGCGATATATTCGCAATAATTAAAGAACATTAGTTATAGTTTCAACAATTTTCTATCATTGAACACAATGAGATCCTCAAATGGCTTTTGTTATTTAGCACACAAGTAATGGTGTATTTGTCTTGCATATACTAACAAATAAGACTGAGAACATATGTCAGTTAAATACACTTTATTATAAGATAGTTTCCCATCGATTTTAACTAATTAGGAGGCTTGTTCGAGTTTATTTACTTGAATTGATTTGTGTATATGGTAATTTACGAATGTGATTTTACATTTCAAAATTGTATATAATTCAATTTATGCATAAAATATTTCTCCAGACTCGAAAATAATTATCGATTTGGATAATCATTTGTGTGTATATAACTTAGCAACGCGTAGCTAGTCAATTCTTTGTTTTGCAATATGTATGAAATCATTTCATATTATGTTCTAGACTAAAACCTGTGTGTTCGAAACATCACCACTACTTTGTTCTTTTAAATAAAGTGATAGAAAACTTCGTAACTGTGTATTTATTAATAAGTCATAATTTGATATTCTTTTTCATGACGGAGTGACGGATAGTATATCTCTTACCACATAAGTGAAAACATAGTCACAGTTAAAATAATGTAGAAACTAAGTTTTACGAAGATGAAACAATTATACCTTTTAAAGAGAAGTTGATTATTCAAACAATATGATCCATACTTACATTGTAATAAATTCGTTTAATTTCATTCCATTTAATACGATTAGTTGGAACAATCCAATAATCTGGGAATTGCTAGAACCATAATGTCAAATACAAAATAATTTAATGAAATAATATTTACAGATAACTTTATTTTGAAAACTATCTTACGCACTTTATGATACATTAAATTTATGCTGGGTAGTTTAAAAAGTCCCACAGAAGGAACTAGTAGCCTGGAAGTTGAAAATTGGAGTACTTTAGCTACTAAGCTGGTTTGAACTAATAACCTATTTACTAACTGAAATGGATTAGTGAGTTTATTTGAGAACATTTATCTGTCAAACAAACAAATTTCATTTGATTAATGCATACAAATTGTAAATTGTTTCGATTTTTGTAATATTTTAACTCAAAGAAACCTAACCTATGTATACAACAGAAAAATATTCAACAACTTTGTTTACCTTGACACACAATAGGGTTGTTTCAGTCTTGATTGCAATATTTCAATACACACAAATATTACTTCCCCCTCCCCATCTTTGTGACTAATCCTCCTTTTCGTGATATTTATTTATTTATTATTATTATGTATACATTAATTTTCCCTATTTAACATGATATTCCTACAAATTACTATTCTTATTATTACCATTAATATTGTTATCATACCAACTATGGCACAAAAACTCCTAATTAGGAACGTACAGCATAAGTAAGCGATTTCATGGAAAAGATTTTCTTAGCTGAGTTTTCTTGACTCATATTTTGTATTAAAGTTTTTTGCATACGACCTTATCTATTAATTAGGACTGAATTTTCGATAACTTTTAACGACTTTATTAAGTGATTCAACAAATCTCCTATATTCTATGTTTGGAAACGTCTAATGTTTGGTAAATTTGTTCGTTTTTTTCTATTTTGTGACAGGCTACTGCATGCAAAATTATGAACGAGTATGATTGTATAACATAAGAAATTGAAATCACAGATGAGATAATTTTCTTCACTGAGAATTCTTCCGTTTCTTAATGATTGAATGAAGTTTTTTCTTTATTTAGTAAATTATTTGACAATTTATGCCGATTGCCTTACTACATATTTTCAAGTGCATTCTACACAGAATATAAATTAGTAAGGTTTATAATATATCCTGAATTCATTAGATGAAACGTATTCAAAATTTCTATTACAATAATTACACTAACAAGCTATTATTGAAGTGAATGGGTAATTTTAATATGCTTTATGACAGAGAATAACAACACTGCACAGATTTCAAATTTATTACTTTGTTTTTGAAAAAAATGATGGCTCATTAAATAATGATCAAGGTGAAATTATGCGATCACAATGTTCGATACATTATACTCGAGAGATGAGCGTCAAGCTGTGATGTCCTTAGTTTATCAAACTATGGATTGTTTTATATTCACATAAAAAGATACAGATGTAAGCAATTTGAATGACAATTATCAATGATGTTTTGATATTTTCAATAAATATCTGAATAATATTAATAAAATAATTGATGTTAAAAAATGTTCTAAACATTACAGTATTCTATATTACCATTTTTTGATTGATGTAAATTCAATCTGGAGAAAATCTGATGGTGAACTTTTCCTTTACTATGTTAGTTTATACTTATTGGATAAGCAGTGGATAAAATACGAGTTGATAACTCATCCGTATAATAAGTTACAACTAAAAGTCAGGGTTCTAAAGGCTGATATCTATTTTCTGACTTTTAAATAAATAATTCTGATAGAAATGTTCAATAGATAATTAATAATATAATAATTTTTGAAGAGATTACAGCATAAATGAATTGAATGCAACAGGTAATTACTTTGTTTTCATCACCTGATATAATGTAACTCCTTGTGGACTGATACCAATCCATACAGAGAAGCGGCATTTGTAAGTAGGTTTCTCAAGTGGATATAAATGTAAATTGAAATCAGAGTTCAATTTTGTTGCCAGATGAATAAAATGAAACTCAGCCAGATAGGTTACAGTATTATGAAGCGCTGAATGATGTATATAAGTGTAATAGGCTAGTTCAACACTATCACACGATTTAACAAACTAAATTTTACAAACAATCAAACACATATTAGATAATTTAGGAGTATATAAAATCATAAAATGTATAGTGTTGAGAAACTTAAAACCATTCCGTTTGATAATACCTTTTGATCTGAACACAATAGAGATAAAAGTATTGTCTTAGAAAATCATTAGTGCGTACAACAAATACCTATTACGTAACTTATCAGTGTGATTCTAAGGCAATTAGTCCACTGTATAATTAAATTTTGTATACTCAAGGAATAACCAATATTGACTGTTATCAAACCCTTGGGCACTTACATGTAGAAAAGACAACATGAAAGTAGTGACTATCATTTTACTATGCACACTAGATCATGTCTGAAAAGCGTTCAAATATATTACGAATAAGTACGGCAATGAAATTAAGCACTAAACGATTGTCAACTGGATAGAGTCCCATTTTAGTTTAACTGAAAATATAAGCGTCATTACTACTAGATACTCATGATTTCAGCATATCGATAGCCGTAAAAGTAAATTCAATATGGTAGTATTTCGTTTGATAGAATCTAATTGAAGAAATACAAATGCTTCAGGAAAAGTAAAACTTCTGCATTCTTAAGCAAACACCTACTTACTAACGTTCTTCAGGTGAATCCAGATAACTAGGGTGGTTGACAAATTTGAGAATACTGTTTATCGCCACCACAGTAAATTAAATATATTAAAAAGCGTTTTATTAACGATTCATGCATCACATTCTCGCCTAAGTAGATACTAAAAGCCTAGAATATATCAAATACTATATGAGGATAAATCATTAAATTTCTGATTCGAAATGTTTATTCATGCTTTTTCAGTTAACTATTCAAAAAAGATTGTGTTCAGATCGTTTAACCTCCTTACTAGTACATTAGTCGAACTACGCTATCCACACATAATTTACATCTTATGTTTTCTAATTTTCTATGTCTCGCAGTCCTAAAATTAATCGAGCGCATTGGGACTAAAACTCACATAAAAATAATCATACTATGATAACAAACAAAGAGGCGATGTAAATAAGAGTATAAGTGAAAATTTAGATGTTTTCCCTTTCTTGACATTAGAAAAAAGAATTTCTCAAAGTTCTTCAGAATAATGGTTTATGGAAAAATAACTTCAGTTTCAAAATCAAGCGCAACGTTTAGATTCATCTTAAAACTTGAAATTTTTATCATTTTCAGTACTAGACTATGTATTATGATTATGATACTTCATTTATAGTTACATACATATGCTTCAAGTATCTTAATAGACTCCTGAAAATCAGTTTTGTATAGTATTGCATAAGTCACTAAAGAAGAAAATTCTAAGACACCAAACCAAAACACTGCATAACATATAATCAATAGATTTAATTAGAACACTGAAGAGTAAATAGTTTAGATAATAAGCAAATCAACGAAGCAATTAAATAATGCCACATCTTACTTCTACAAAACGTGTTTATTGGTACAAAAGTAGGTTGAAAAAAGATAGTGACCAAAATAACACATAGCACCAGTTCATAAATTCAATAAATATTGCTCTGAGCCATGCTGAAAGGTACAAACTATTCAATTATGGTTCGTTATAATCGCGAACAATCATTGGAGACTTTGAATGACATGTCCTAAACTCATCCAAAATGGCTCACACTTATCCGTTGTTTATCTTTCAATCTTGACGTACGGTATTCCTTTGATCTTACCTTTTCACTCTGTCTTTTCTAAACGTATTCCCGATGTTTAGCTTTTTTCTTTATCATTGTTAATGAACAATTTTGAAATCATTTGTTATTCATCTTGTCGTGCTAATATGGTATGGCAACTTTAGCCAACATTCATCTATGACAGGCTCTATGTTTACGATATCTCTTTGTAATGCTAATATTAATATACCTGTCATAATTTATAAAATGATATTAGTACTCAGTAATGATAATCTTATTAAATGGAATCAACAATGTTCAATACTTCGAAAATTATGAAATGTCCAATACTTGCTTGTTATCAACGGACTTTCAACTCTAGACGTTTACGGTGAACTTTATTCTATACTACACTTAGTGTCCTTTTTTCCAGATAATAGTTGAAATGTTGGTTAAGCATGTAACATATTTACTACAATTTCTGTATTGAGGATTCTTGATAAGTAATTCGAAGGTACTTTTAGTCTATAACATAAGTGTACCACACTTTATGACAGATTTTCTAATCAATAGGGTTTCAAAAATAAACGTGATTTACAATTATATGCGTAATATTAAAATTGTATGGCTTTAATTTAAATAATTTTCATTCACAGATACTACCAATTAAACTTGAAATAATACGATATTCACTCATTTACTTAGTCGTCTCAACTTATTATTACATAATAAGACTGAGTGCATAAACATACGTTTTCGGGTAGAACCAGTTTAATATAAGCAGTCGAGTAGTTGGATATTATCTGAAAAAATCAATGTATGATTTAAATCCTTTGATAAAGACTGTTTTGTTCATTCAAGTAAGAATTATCTAACTACTCATAATTTTCCTTGTTTTACCTACTATGTGTCTATTTCCGAAACGTTAAGTATTTATCAGCTAAGTAGTCGTTCTACAAAGCTATTCTGTTTTATAGAAACTGAATATACAGTTCACTGTAAGTGCTAAAGATCTGGAAATATCTTGCAGGTGGTTTTTAAATTGAGTAGTGTATTAGTAGTAAGTGTCTACATCCAATAGGATACGAATTTCATCTTCAATCCAGACGTAAGCCTTTCACACCAATGTTGCATGATTTGAATAATGAGTTACCTTAATCTCACATACAGTTGACCAATGAAAGGTACATTTACCAGTCATTGAATATTAACCAGTATAATTTCATTCAGTTTTTATTACTAGCCGACTCCTAATGATCAACGTTGATTAGTAACAAGATATAACACCGTCTACACCATAGTATCAGACTGCTGAAATTACACTACTCTGCAACTTGATTTTAGCTAAGTAGAAAGGTCTTCAAATTTGTCATCAGGATATCTAGGTTCACTTATGGCAAGCTGAGCTTGCTGTTATCCCACTAATAGACAGGGAACTTAGACTAGTGGAATGTTTTAATTGACAATAATCAGTGTTTATTTGTTAAAACAGTAGAAAAAAATTCAGCTTACTTTCTTAGGATAATAAAGTTCTGGTAGAAAATAGGATGTTTCAGATTCTGGATTAAAACATTTTGGTGCATCACCCAATTCAGCCTGTAGTGCAAACGCTGCTAACTGTAAATATACATTTGGATCACAAAATAATTCATAGGCAACATGATTTTTTCGTAGTTGTAAATAATAAATATGTTGTGTTGCACGTTCATTTAGACAATGTATCGGAAGATAAAATCGGATGCGAAAATATACAGTTGGATATGATGATTGTAATGAACAATGATATATTGACTTATTTATCGGTAGAGACAAAATACCCTGTTAAAATCAAATAAACAATAAAACAAATTCATACTAACCTTTATTTTCAAAGAAATCTTTGGTATTCAAAGTATTTTTTATGTATGCACTTTAAAGATTTAATTTAAGCTTAAGCTTTCTTGTTCTATCATATGTGTACAGAATTTATGTGAAACATTAAGTCTAATTCATCATATTAATTGTAAATTTTAATTGTATAAATCAATGAATAACTCAATTTAAATTAAAACAATAAAAAATTGAGTAACTCATATGGTATCAATTGTTTAATGCCCTGTAGAAAAATGCCAATAGAGTTAAATGAAGTAAATAGAAAAAAAAACAGGCAACTATTCTGTTTGAAATAGAATAATGTACACGTTTTATGGAAGTTATCTTATTTGATCATATAGGCAAAACTAATACAAAATTTAGGTAAATGTTTTATGCACATTGAATACTAAACAGCTGTCAGAGTATTTATTTATGCCCCTGATAATAACAATTACAAAAATCCTTTGAAAAGAACAAGGTAAAAGTCTTGAGCAAAATGACATAAATTTATTTTATTTCACTATGTTCTTGTCAGCTACTCACAATTTGTGATATTTAAGAATTATAAGCTTTGTACAATCAATTAACAGAGAGCTTTGATCAAAACATTTACTCATTGAGTTAATAAGTTATGTACCACTGACAAACTAGAATAAAAAATGATTAACATTTGAAAGTGCCTTATAGATAACTGCTATGCAAAGGAATGTATTAATAAACACAACATACATAAAAACAGCCGATCAGATGTAGCTACAGCAAATAAAAACCAATATTTATCCACTTCAACTTCAGAGATGATAAATTTACAAAGTAGGAGGTCCAAGACAGCATTAGCTAGAACCTAACATGAAGTCAAACTATTAATGATGTGTAAAAAACATGTTGAGCTATTTGATGAAACGTTATCACTGGCTGCGTCTATAAATTTACAATTACCTCCCAAAAGAATTACAATGGCTAAACAGAAAGGAAACCACATCACATAGAGCTCTTATTCAAGAGAATGAAATATAGCAAATATACACTAAACACCACTAGATATCTCTTGAACATAGGACATCAAGTCGATACTCTAAAACTTTTCAGTATTTATTAAAAAGTTAAGCTCCGATCTTCTGAAGTTTCCTGGGGCAATTACTATCATGTGTTAGAAACCAGAAAAGAAAAAATTATCAAACCTTATTCACCTCTGTGATAAGGACATTTCTTTGTTAGTTTGAAATTTCATTTAACTCGTTTTTTGATTTATGGAATCATTACATCTATTTCCGACTCTCTTCTTCGTCGGTACTTTCCTTTCGTATAACTCTTTGATCTTTTGTAACTATATATTGTTTCTCTACATAAGATATTTATTTACAATATTTATTTAGTCTCTTAAATTTGTTTCCATCTTTGCTAAGCGATACTGCTGTATTTTTAAAACAATCATCAGTAATTTTAACCGCGGTTTTTAAATACTACAGGTCGTAGACAGCTGATGAGACTGTGATTAAATCAAACGACTTCAAACAGAGATGGATGGTAGCTAACAATCCAACCCAAGACCATTGTTTTGTTCTATTTGGGACTCGTCACAAGGATGTATCTGCATTTCGGAGTTTATGATCACCCTAGGACTCGAACCCAATGCCTTTCGCTTCATATGCCATCGCGATATTCACTTAGCTACTGAGTCATGATAGCCACTGACTTGGGCAATAAGCTGAAACTTAATTTAAATTGATAAGAAAAACTCACCTTATTGCACAAGTCAATGGCTATCATGACTCAGTAGCTAAGTGATTAACACAATGGCATATGAAGCGAAAGGCATTGTGTTCGAGTCCTAGGGTGGTCATAAATTCTGGAATGCAGATACATCCAGGTGATGAGTTCCAAACAGGACTAAAAGGATATACCAAAGCTATTGTTTAAACTTAACTACATCAGTTATTGACGCATTCAATATGTAGTAATTAATCCCTAATGTATCTATTTTATTTACTGACTATCATCTACCCAATTATCACCTTTTATCTACACTTTCTAACAAATTATGATACCAGTTCGCAGTAACTTAGGCTTTGCGAGTAATTAAATTTGATGTAGAATTTTCAGTAAGAATTACAAGTGAAACTAAGTTATTTGTTGTATTTTGGGAAATGCAGTTAAATCGACTGAGACTATTAGTTATATACATTCATCTAGTTATTTATTTATTTATTATTAACTACTGCCTAGTTCCGTACATTAAAACTTACCTATTGACCAGACACCTAAATGACTTATAACGCAGTGAATTTGAACAGAACCTATGAATACGGTGCTGCATGTATCATGCATTTATTTTGTGGGGTTAACAAAACCTTAACTGCAGTCTTACTTCCTTCCTTACATTGAGTAATATGGATCTTTGTCTGGTTACAAAGTGCCAAACAAACATTTGTCTAGATAACCATTACAAACCACTATGCCAGAGGTTTGCTCCGGTTACAACAAAAAGTCGGGAAAAAATAACCATTGAGACATCAGTTAGCACGTTACATAATATGTGACATAAGATTAATGGGTGGACACAGTACCGACGTTTTTAAGCAATTTTGTCAGAGATTTCTGCAAACAAATAACATCTGGGTGATTATGATAGGACAATTGCTTGACTGTAGGATTATTCTCGGTAAATTTTATACACTCATCTACAATGAACTTATCTGTATTACTTAGTTATGTGAATAATACATCATAAATAAAAAGTCTACTCAATACTACTAGGTGCACTGTTTTTAGTCAATGGAATCTCAATTTTGAACTACAAGATGGTGAGACAACATTTTTTCTAAATTTTATGAAAGCTATCTCAGAAATGCTTATTATGTGATCTGAATGAAACCGTTACCCATGTTTCGTACTTTTCTCAATTCATTTTTCTTCGAATTTAGCTAAATGTTATTTAGTGAAGACTTTTAATTATATTGTTTCCAACAAAACTATTATCACTTCACTTTAGCTATCTGGCCTCTGAATATCTGCAATTGACTGCCAATACAATACATAATAGAAAATAAGATACTGTAGAAGCTAATTTTATAATTCTCTTTAAATGCTAGTTTATATCGTAAGAAAAATTAGCCATTAGATAGCAAATATGCTATCTGATTTCCTAATAGAAAAACCAGGTTTATTTGTAGTGTAGTTTTCATATGATGATTTTATCTAAGGTAACTAGTTTTAGTTTGCCCCGCTTTATACACAAGTTAAAAATAATTACTAGTCAAGAGATTTTAGCTAAACTCAATGTAAGATGTGGGTGCTCTTACTTCTGAATAAAATCCTCCTCCTGCATAAAGAAGCCTGGGATAACGTTTTATTTTTTTATAATATTCAGAAAAATCAAAACAGTTTTTATCATGAATAGAATAGATAATATTTGCCAGATTTTCTATATTTTTCCAATGGAACCCAAATCAATCCACATAAATTCACTGACGAACTACTTATTTGGTTCGGAATAAGTTCACTGTGTTTGATGGTTGAAACCAGTTTAAAAAGTTAAATGACATAGTTAGTGAACTGAAAGGTTTTCTGTATTTATTCTGTTAAGTTTATTTTAAAACTGGACACGACTGCGGTTTGTAAAAGCAGTTTGCCAATGTAGATATTTTAGTTGAAAATGAACAATTATTTTTTTTGAATTCAAAATGCAATATGTTTGTCTGTGTCCACCTAGTTCGGTTTGACTTAAATTTCTTTAATTTAAGGTTTCCTAGTTTGTATAATAATCCAAACACTTCTAACTACCACATTGTCATCCCGATGAAGCCTGTGATGGAACAGTTAGATATATATTCAAATTTTGATGCTTTTGAGGATTATAAAGAAAGGTTTGAAATCTGAACAACGATCAGAACGGATCTTGAAGATGTTAATGTTGTATCTCATTTCCTTACATTCATTGAAAAAGAAGCTTACAGCTTACTGAAAACTTTGGCATTTTCATTTAAGCCGATTTCACATCTCTACGCGACTCTCAAGGAACTAGTACTAGACCACGTAAAGTTTACACACTCATGGTGCCGCGAAGAAGTAGAACTTCATAAAACGATTCATCAGAGCTCCAAAAATTTCATTTCATTACCACGTCATTCCGATACGGTATGCACTTAAGGTTATGCAGATGAAAATCATTTGGGAGTTATTAAGTAGGTTACGAAGATGAGCTCGAGTTTGGTATGTATTTGTCATGTAGAAAACTTCACTCGCGTAATTTTTATGAAGGCAGTGATGTTCATTTCGCAATGCTGAATGGGTACGTGACATCACACACACCAATTTTTGGTTCTTTGAAAAGTAAATCGAAAATATTAGTATATACGGGATTTTTTACTTTCCAGGGATAGGGATTCAATACAGTACTAGCATGCTTACAGCCAGGGCATTGTTTCACAGAACAAACGAAATAGTGTCGTATCCACAGTATATGACTTTACTGATCTTTCAGTTGCACTCATAGAATCCTACGCTGCTTTGAAGGGGATAATAGTTATTACGTTAGTTGCACTGTGTTTTTATTCTCTGTATCAGTTTGGAAAACGATTCTGTATCGATTACTAAAGTTCAATAATGAACTCGTTGGAATAAAGATTTGAAAAAATTCAAGTACTTACGGCGGAACACTTTTGATCAGGTGTCACGAAATAATTGGTTATTATCCTGTGCATAAACTCACTAGGTTCTAAAAATAGCCAACCTTCGTCTACAAAATCACAGTCAGAGTACAATCCACCATTTCATACCATTACAAAGCATTGCAAGGCCAAATATATCACGCTCGTGTAGATCCATAGAAGAACATACTTCATGGAAGATATCTTCAACAAGAGTATCGTTAGTGAATTTATAACAAATCTCCTTATTATTCAAAAGGACAACCTTTATATTATTAATATAAGGATGTTTTGGGCAGCAACGAAACTTAGACATCAATATTATATAAAGAGAAGACAAACGTATGCGATAACAAAAGATGGTTTATGATTTATGCGCTTAACGACACAAGTCCAATTTCAATACCTATGTACCATTCAAGAAACAATAAAATTTTGATGAACTAGCAGAGAAGGAATGATTTCTTCATTTCTTTCGATCCGGAGTTCAGTTAACCCAGATAACAGACTGTTGAATAAAACATTGTTGAGGACATTAATGAAGTCATTGATGGCTGGATATGTATGGAGCATTTCATTATTAAGAGCACACAAATTTCAAGGCCTAAAAACAGGTCTGATAAAAAGGACTAACTCATTTTAGTACCGTACGTTCCTTCAGAAAGAATCTAGTTTTCGTCCGGGTGTTAAAGCAGAATCCTGGCGATATTTTCTGGTATCTTAACGATCATCCGGTTATGCTTACAAGCCAATAGATCTAGTTTTTGCGTCTTGTAGCGGTAAATAAATCCCTGAAATCCATAGCTCTGTGTGCCTTAGACACTCGGTGCTGACCGCATTAGTTTTCATGGATTCACCTTACTGAAAGCGCTCGGTCATGCATCAGTACCAGATCATGAGTGGAACGCCGTGTTCAACATCGCCTGCAATCGCTAGCCAGATTAGATCAGTCGGTCCTCGATAAATTGATAACCTATCAATTATATCTTCGAACCTCCTCACTTCTGTCATTCGATTTAATTTGATGGGTACGATTATTGTAAGAAGGTGATGCTGGTTAAAGCGTTGTCAAACTCCAAATACCTGTGGCATCTTCAGTCTAATAGCTGCCTTCTTGCTCAAACTTACAAGGATACCACCAGTTATTTTTGCAATCTGTGTTAAAATACAATTTGATTGAAATATGCTTAGTGAGTTCTCAATAAAATTTGCTCTCTGCTTTGGTGAATCTACTGAGTATTCTCATACATTTACATTTACCTGACAGACCAAAGGCGTCAATTTCTTTAGCGGTCACATTATTTAGAATGAGGATGAGTATATGCATATAAACCACAGGAAGGTAAGTGTTTAAACTAAATACATTACTAAAGTGATCACAGGGTGCTTGAGTTTTATCTTAATAGCCTTCCGCCAAGGACGAGGTATAACTTTCTCCACATAATGCTGATAGGCCGTTTCTCTCACTAACCAATCTAAGGGTCTCGGGAATTGTATAGAACCTGTTTACAAGCTTTTCTCCAAAGAATTTAAAGAATTGCATAGGAACAGAGCAAAAATATTTTTGGTTTTCGATATGATGATTTCGCCTCATTAGCACTCTCTAACATGAAAAATTCCTGCAAATTTTTTTTCTATGAGTAAGGGTACGAACCTGGTAATTGGATGCCTTGGTGTAATGGAAGCTACCTGCGCTGTCGTGGCCTTCACTCTATATACAACCTACTGAGAACGCCGAGCATTTTTTTCATAATTGATCTTCAAACGTTTCGTCTGACATCAGCCGTTATAGGTGTTGGCAACATGTGAATCAAAAGTCAGAAGAGTATGGTCACTCTTGTCTAGAGGTGACATAATCTGGGTTTATGCCGTCGCCCTTATAATGGCATCATCGAATATCAAGACCCCACCACCTTTAAATTCAAAATACTAAGGTCATTTTCACCGGTATCTAATCTTAGTTTCAGTTCTTTTCAGATTCGATTTTATACTATCAGCTAAAGGCGTTTACCGGTAAATAATCCTGATTCAATCAGTTCGTCCATTCTGTAATACCACGCCGTGTACATCAAGAGAAACGTGTGCCACTTTCAAAAGCTAACTTGGTTCTTTGTCATGTCCCTATGATTATCTGGTTTATGAACCTATGATCGACTGAACACAAGGGTATGTTATCATTATTTTATTTAACACTTTTGTCAACATAATGTCAAGATCGAAGCGATTAAACAGAACTTTCATCATGATTATGAAAGTTGACTGGATCATCAAAATTGATGTACCTACCGATTTTTAAATACTGTTAAAGCGATCTGCTTTTATGACACTAGATCGTTCCTTGCTCTTTATTCATGTATGTAGTTAGCTTTCACTGGATTGGCTGTCCTGCTCATGGTACTCGCACCGCGAGATCCTGAAGGACTTTAAAAGGATTGAGTGGACAGACGAAGAATTCTGTTGTTTTTATAGCTATACAATCGGTATATCTGGGTGTTTCCTGACTGCTGCAACTTAAAGGTCAAAGCACAGAAGAAAACTGCCTTCCAGAGTTCTTATTGCTGACCGTAAATTCAACTGCACAATGAAAGTCACCAGTCTTTTCAAATACATGAAGGAAATGATTTTTCAATTATACAAATATGAACAGGAAAACGAAGAGTATGGTGCCAGAAAATGGAGACTGTTCTTAAATCAAGTAATTTACTTAAGAGCGACATCCTTCTCACATCCAAGTTATAATAAATAAATTGATACGTACTGACATATACATATAAAAGCGATAAAAGGTACGCGTTATGCGGTTGATCATTTACGGCTACAAAAATAAGCCTGTAGAATAAAACTAGCATTCATAGAGAATTGAGCACAATGTGAACTGTATCAGTGTGACACTTCTGGCAGTAAATAAATACCTGAAATAAAGTTTTTGATATTGAAGCAGCCGCACAGCATCACGTGCTTGAGCAGCTAGTTAGTCTAGATCATATACTCCCTTGTCTTTCCTGTATTATGTTGAGTCAATATCCATGTACGTGAAAAAACCTACAAGTGTATATTTACTTTTCTCTCACCATGTGTAATGTTGTTGCTCCATCTATTGGTGAATCCTTTGGTTCATCTGACATTAATCTATCATAGTTTACGTTCTCACCTTGCTTGACTCTAAATTTTGATGACTGCTAGGTTTTGCTTTAATCGATCGTTTATCCTAGTAACTGCCATAATGGAGAACCCAATTCTATATCTACATACTTCATGTTACTTCCGAGAATTTCAGGGTTCAATCGATGAATATCGAGTGCCCTTCATAAAGTTCAGCGAATGAAACTCTAAGCGTCACTAAGGTCTCATGTTGATGATCAAGGACTTTCTTCTGAATAGATTACATAACAACATTTATGTTGTCGTATTGAGATTCGATAATGTGGAATACCTGGTCTGACCTTCGTAATTCAGCTAGATCTTAACTTTAAAGGATCGATTTCTATAGGAAATCACGAGGTTCGTAAGCATACTAGGGTTAAGCGGTTCGATTGGAAGTCGTGAGGCTCAACTGACTGTTTACTTATTGTTGAGTTTAATGTTTAGTTAGACAGACTGTTTTAAACAGAATGCACAAACTACAACATTACTGTCAAATAATTAATATAGTACAAATGCATGCTATAATATTACGGCAAAAGGACATCGCTGTTATACATGCTGACAGTCGTGTGAACGTCCGTCTAGGTAATAGTTTAACAGTTGGAGTAAGCAAAAATTATTTAAAGACTATAGTGGAGTTCGTGGGAGACTAAGTCATTTAGATATTTCCCGACCCGTATTGCACATATCTAAATAGGAGACGAAATTAACACGACATACATAAAGTGACTTCTGATGTCATGAGTCTACCACGGTTCTGGAGAGCATAAATGAATACGACTTACACGAGGACATGTAACTGCATGTAAAATGATTTGCCATGCTTAAATGAAGTAATGCAAAATCAGCAATTATTATATGCACGTGTATACTATCACCGAACGTTCGGCTTTTATTTATCACGTCACAGGTTTGTCAATGGAGTAGTCCCATTAGCTTTCACAAAATAGGAACTCTTTAAATAGAAGTCTGCGACCTATGTAGACAACTTTTATTACAACGTCTGGAACTTAATACAGTGATGTGTATAATGATATTGAATGGACGGGAAAATACTATCCCAATTGGTAAACATGAAATTTAAAAATATTCGATAACACAATTTTCTTGACCAGCGTTCTTATTGTTTGCGACCCAATTTGGATGAAGATAGTAGTAGTAAGAAAGGAAACATGAAATGTAGACGAGTTGTCCGGTCGAAACTTTTTTTCATTTCTATAATATTCAGTAAGATGCTCGTAGTTTGTCAACCGAGAAGTATAAGCAAAAAGCAGTTGAAAAAACCAATAGTTTCTTAAAGAACAAACACGCACACGAAGGACAATGACACGAACATGATAGACTGTTACTAGTTTTAAATAAAAGTGAAGGTCAAATGGTATAACATAATCTGCTGTACAAAAAGAGAAAGGTAGCAAGTAGTTCTTATAGAACTTAGCTCACACAACTGTCTGGAACGCAGTGCATCAGTAATGTTAACTTGAAACAATAACAGAATTGTCATATACATCTTAATTTTTGGGAAAAAAGCAACACTTTCCCCAAAGTAAATGGGCGACGTTTACTTAGGACACATAATGATAAGTGGCAGCGTTACTGGAATCTCTTTTCATATAATCTCGTTCAATTAAATTTTCGATACGTTTCTTCACATCACTTGCCTACATATATACAAATGGAAAAAAAATCAGTAATAAAAAACTATCCAAGGTAAGCAAACCATGAAGTGTGGTTTTGGAAAATTAAATAAAAGGAAGCCATCTGTACATGTATCAGTTACAGGATGATAATAACCAAAACTGTATCTCACTATTGCCTTTACCATTGTTATTCTGTCAAAAAGTCAATAAGTGTTATGCATCCTTGAAGAACACGACCTACACAAAATATAAAACCCACATCTAATGAAGCAAAAAATTAGATCTCATGAAACCCCTCCCTTTCGTTATAAATATTTGGTTTTAGGGATATAAATTGAAAGTACATAATAGAAAGTAGTCCATAGAAAAAAAAGAATACTCACTCAGTCATGGTATGGGTCAACAGTAAAAGCACGGTTAAAAGTTACTTTCAAATAATTCCTGATCCATTGTACATTTGTGCGAATTTAGAAAAGGATTCGTATTCATACTGATTAATTTAGTAACTAAGTTAAGTTTATAAAACCCATACTTAAATATTCTCTAATTTTTGTTGATTTACAAGTCGCTGAAATGAAACCATTTTAAAGCCGTAACTGGTAGCTTGGGACATGTGCACGCTGTAATATGATCAGGATATAAGATTATGCGATCACTAGATTACATACTCGATCGATACACAGATACAGGATTTACGAGCAAAAACATAAAACCAGAAAACAGTTTACTGATACAAACACTAACAGTCACACACACACACACTCAGTGTAGAGTAGAAATTAATCTCTTACACAACACTGAACTATACGGTAGTCTACACACAGAGCAGACTGCTTTTATTTGCTCCATGGACAATCACAGATCAGTACCATACGACGTATCAAAGGGTCCACGAAAGACTTTCATCTGATATTTTCCAGTCTACAAAACCCATGATAAGTTGAGATATTTAAATAACTATTTTTAAAAATTCTAAATTTATTGGGAAGCTGATCATTGTGGTAATTCAAACTTGTGAGACATAACTACCAAATGTGATGAATATACTTAAATTACATATAATCAACAGATATCTTCGCAGGACTTCTCGTATATTGGGGCAATCAGTGATATTGACAAAGGTAGACAAAGGTTTTATAAAAGTTCATACAACTGGAAATACTAAGTTTAAATGACACTTACTTTAAGTGGAAACTGTAATTGCTTGTAGACTTCTGATAATAATGAATTATGGTCAATAGTTTTACGCGTTTTCATAATTCGTACAATACAACAATCTACATGAGCAACACGATCAGCAAACACCCGTTCTTCAGTAGCCACTTGTTCTTGTTCCTAAAATAAAGGAATATATATGTCCATATTTTGAAGATATAGACTATCTCATGGATTGTTACAATTCAATTTACTGATGAAGTGTACTAAGATTAAGCCAAACAGCTTACATTCATATTGAAATCGAAGTGCTAACTTAGTAAACGAAAATATAGATATGATTTTTTATGATGAAAAATATTCTTATTATGTCTAAAATATCGATGCACTGTATAATTAATTTACATTCTGTTTGAATGACTACTGCTCTTCAATGAGTAAGCTTTTGATAAATCCAATTTGATTAATGATTTCAATAAGTTTCCAGGCCCACAGTATACACTGAAATTGAGGATAGCTAATTACACTACTCAGTTTGATTTTATAATCAAATGAATGAACATTTAACACTATTTAGTCACAGGGGATAGAGTTAACTATTTATAATTACTTTTTCAAATGATATAAATGGTACTTGAGTATTTAGTGTGATATTACAATGTTATCAACCTGATAAACAATATATTCGTATCCATTTAGTTTTTAGATTAAACGTTTTTTAACGTTATAACATATATTAGATCAAATAAGTCATTGATCAGTTAGAAATAGTAAACAGTCCAAACTATGAATAAACAGTGAACATTTGTTAGTTAAGATTACTTTTTATTTTTATTTATTTATTTATTTTAACACATAGATACTGGAACAAGGGACACCAAATACATATGCGCTACACAAATCTCATTCGATATGTGTGAGGGCTGTGATACTGCCCGGGTGCCCAAACCGAAGCAGGTACTTTTTATTTACCAAATGTCAATCATTGAGTTTACTTTAAACAAGCTAGAAAGTATTTCTAGGCTTTATAGAAGGTCATAGGCAACACTTGAAACTTAATTGAATTGCCTACTTTCCAATAAAATTTCTACAAGGTCATGGAAATGGAACGGTGATGATTTTTTATGATACCATTGTATACAGTGGTAATCCGTTGGTCAGATTAACCATTACATTAAATATCTTAGCAACACACTAATATCGGAAAAACACTGAGATCAATGCTAAATCATTTCAAAGCAATCGATATGAAGAACTAATGAGTAAAAAGAACCTTACAGTTTCTTTTAGTTGAACCTGATTGAATTTGATACGCGTAAGTCGATGATGAAATTCGGTGTTGAAAACAAACTGATGATCGTTTTCAATTTCTAGATTCTACAATAAAAATGAGAAGAGGAAAATACATACAGATCACAAATTAAAATATTCCTACTTCAAAATACTAGTTACAACTGTTTGAAAGTTAATGATAACACTTAACTGCCCAGATGTCCTTGAGTGAAGATTGAAATCATAGGTTAAGTAGTTGAAAATCAAATATTTTAATCACTATAACATTTTTTACAGAAAATAAAATAATGAACAGAATGTATCCGACTATAAACACATCAATATGATGTGATAGAATAACAAAGTATTAGTTTAGGTTAACTCATCACTGTTATCTGTTTGTTTAAGATGTTAATTTTTAGTGTCCTGAAGGTATTGAGAGATATGTAAAGAAATAGTAAAACAGAAAGGAATGGGACAATAATTATAAAAAATAGAAAAAAAACTACTTCTGGATCACTGTGAACCTACATTCGAATCCATTTATGAGTTATTTATGCCAGTGAAGTATGAAATTCGTTACTGCATAAAAGGCGATAAAATAGGCTGACACATTTCAAGTTAAAACCATTACCTTACAATCAGGATTCCATGTTACGAGGTAACTTGTGTTATGATTACTTTTAGCAAGTACATATTGCATGAGCTGAGAATTCATACATAAATGAGTGCTCGAATTACAGTGACCATTTTGTAAGATAAGATTACTAACTGAATAATGATTTCCACCATTATCAAACACATCACAAGACCATAAGGTTGCTCCACAAGGGTGTGGACAGCATTATGGAAGTGGTAGTAACAGTGAATCCTTGATTTTAAGAGACTAGGTGTGATATACTTAGTACGGAATA